AGACGACGACTACTGCTACTACTACGACTACGTGCGACTACTACTACTACTACTACTACTACTACTACTACTACTACTACTACTACTACTACTACTACTACTACTACTACTACTACTACTACTACTACTACTACTACTACTACTACTACTACTACTACTACTACTACTACTACTACTACTACTACTACTACTACTACTACTACTACTACTACTACTACTACTACTACTACTACTACTACTACTACTACTACTACTACTACTACTACTACTACTACTACTACTACTACTACTACGACTACTACTATCACTCCTACTCCTACTCCGACCTATTCCTACTACAACTACTACAACTGCTACAAGTGCTACCGCCTCTTCTGCCGCCACTGGCGCCGCCATTGGAACTGCTGCCGCTAGAGTATTGCTGCCACGACTGTTCCTGTCGGATGAGGGGAAGGGGGGAGAGGAGTGAGGGGAGAGTTCCAGTGGAGGGGGCGGGGACAGGAGGTGCGCGAAAAGCTGGCCTTCACCTCCCAAGGCAGCAGGCGCGGGAACAGCACGTTCCCAATCATCAGCGGGACGGCGTAGGGCATGTACTCGCGCATAAGCTCGACCTCTGACAGGAAGATCAGGCTACGAGCAGCAGCAGGGGAAGGACGACGAGGACTGGCACTCTTCATGTTTCGCACACCCTCGCAAACTCATGCACACGGCAATTTTCGGGATGAGGGACTTGGGGGCTGCGACAGCGGACTCCCGACATGAGCCATACTGCGACAACACGGATCGCGCGTCGTTTTACTATCTTGGTGGTGATGGTGATGGTCATTTACCGCGCTCGGAGAAACACGACCACACGGCACGGAACGCTTCTATCAAGCATGCCCTACCTCTCTCATATCGTCGAACTCTGGCTGCTGCCATGGACTTCCTGCCCTCCCATGCGCTTACCAAGGACCTCCCGGCTTAGTCATTTCCAGATCGCGCTGGAATCGAACACATCGTACCAAACGACCACGTCATCCTTTCCAGGACTGGCGCATATGGTGTCGAGTCCCGAGGTCTCCCCTTCAGGCAGACACAGTGGAGAAGGGCGCCACAGCGCAAGATCGCCAGGCTTTTGTGAGGCGGAGCAGCAATCAAACGGGGCGAGGCGGTGCCAACGAGTAAGGCTGGAAGGCAAGGGCCTCGCAACGTCGCCACGCGTTTACCTTACTGACGGGCCTCACTCACGGTGGCCATTCAGGAGAATGTGTTAGCCGCGTCGAGCCGTGGCAACAATGAGACCCCCCCTGGGCAAACAATGAAGAACGCAAGCGCGAGGAGAGACGTGACAATGAGTAGCGGCGCAGCCTTATACACGATCTCCTCGCGCCCAGCGACGCACTCGGAGGTGGCCGACGCACCCAACTGCTCGAGGGTCTTCACAGTGCGCAAGTGACCTGCGACCCATCTCGGGGGCGGCCTGCTCTGCTTTCTTCCCCTCCTCACCCATCTTGTCTGAGCGTCGTCCTCCTCTTCCTTCTCCTCCCTCGTCCTCCTCCTCCTCCTCCTCCTCCCTCATCCTCACCGTCCTCCCCAGGTCACCTTACTTCGCGCATCGCGCCCCGCGATGCGCGACGCACGGTTGTCGTCGCGCCCTCGCACTGCCCCCCTGGAGAATGGAGAGTGGCTCCTCTCCAACAAAAGGCTGCGAGGCGCGACGCGCGACTCTCTTCGCGCCCCTGGGGGGCGACCCAGCGGACTCCTCCTCCCCGTCCTCCTCGCTCCTCGTCCTCGTCCTCGTCCTCCCCGCTCACGGCTCCTGATCGGGAGCGGCCAAGAGGGGGGTGTCCAAGAGGGGGGGTGCAAATCATGGCCGGCGGCATGTGCGCGGCCCAGCGGGGGGGCCGGGAACTGATGACACAAGAAGTGGCGCCCTGAAATCTGGATAAATATCATGGCCCCCGCCATGATAGCCACCCCCCCTAGTCATCACCCCCCCCTTTTCCGCCCCCGACCTGATCTGGCTGCACTGCCAGGCCTCGTGACGGAGGCAGCACGCCCCCCGGCCCACCCCCTGACGAACGAGCAACACACACCCATACCCATAGGGGGTCGTTGAGATGCGGGTTGTCGGACCCTGGGGAACGCTCCCGTTCGAGCGGGGACCCCCATCCGACAACACGCACCCATAGCCCTCTCCGACCCCCCTATGGGTATGGGTGTGTGTTGTTGGTTCGTCACCCCCCGCCGAACCGTGGGCGCGTGCAGGGAGGCCACGTCCGGGCGAGCGCGCCGCGCGGCGGGGCGGGAACGGGAGCGCCGGGGGGCGGGGAGGGCGGCACGGCTCTGAAGGGGCCCAGGGACACACAAAAGAAGTACAGACAACTGTGGGAGATCGTGGGCTGTGGGTGCTGGGCGCTCGGCAAGCGCGAGCCACTAAGAAAGTCCTGCAAGTGCTGCGAGTGATTATGGTGTTGTTATTGGTGTACGCCGAACGGTGGTTTATCCCGTGATGTGAGGCGAAGCTCGACCATGTGGTTCGCTGCGCGTTGTAGAGTCAATGGTGGTTCGGTGTTGGAGAGGTGTTGCGCAGTAGTGGTAGTAATGCTGGCGAAAACTGCAAGGACACGGACTTGCTCAATCTGGTGCTATTGTCCGCTGCCGAATCGCCGTCGCTCTGGTGCTGTGCGTGGTGCTGCTCTGGTGCGGGTGGACGTGCGGTCGGTTGGTGTCACCATGCCGAGTGCGGACCATGATTCCGGGCGCCTCCACGCGCCGCCATGAAGCCGCCTGAAGGCGGCGGAGGAGGAGGAGGAGGAGGAGAAGGAGGAGGAGAAGGAAGAGGAGGAGGAGGAGGAGGAGAAGGAGGAGGAGGAGGAGAAGGAAGAGGAGGAGGAGGAGGAGGAGGAGGAGGAGGAGGAGGAGGAGACCAAATCTAACAGCGCTGGCCGCCAAGCCGCCCCACAAAGGCGACGATCGGTGCTCCCCCCCTGGCCAGACCGCTCTGGACACGCAGCACCCCGCGCCTCGGGCCCCGCGCGGGGGTGGGAGCCGCCGCGCACAAGAGCGGCCCTTCCTCTCCTCTCTGCTCGGCCGCAGCGCACTCGGCTGGTGTGCGTGGGCGGCGAGCGAGGGGGGGGGAAGTGAGAAGGAGAAGGCCTTCTCGGAAGGCTCGGGAGCCCCGCGGCCTTCTGAAGAGGTTTCTGAGCCTCCCCCGAAGACGAGGGCTGATGAGAAGTCCCGCCGCCTTCTGAGAAGGCCTTCTCCTTCTCGCTTCCCCCCCTCGCTCGCCGCCGATACATATATATATATATAGATAGAGAGAGAGAGATGCATGTATGTATGTATATATAGAGTATATCACACATATATGTGCCACATAGTGTGGTTCGTGTACTTGCTGCGTGCGTCTCGTGGTGCTGCTACGGGTGATTCCGGCAGAGTTGGGCGACATGGCGGGCTTGGCCCTGTCTGAGTCGCCACTGGGTCCTTGTCGTGTGGTGGTGGTCGCCTCTACGAAAGCGTTCGCGAGCTCGGATGCTGGACATTCTTGCACCAGAGCTGAGATCCAGGCTCCAGTGTGGTTGCACCCGCGTGAGGTCGGGTGACCTCGGCCGCTCGTGCCCCATCGTGCCCCTTCCCTCGTTTTCCCTCCCTGCTCGTCCCTCCACCGATCACTCCCCACGCCCATCCCTCCTCTCATGCTCCCCTCCTTTCGCCCTCACTGCAACAAGCCCAGACCATGTCCCCTTCACCTCACCCTCTAGGCCTCCCCGATGGGGTCGGAGTAGATGGGGTCGGAGGATTGCGCCGCATCGCCGATGCATTGGCGGTGCGGCTCGACGTGGAGCCCGTTCTTCTCCACGCGGACGTCGCCGCAGCATGGTGATGTCGCCGATGCATCGGCGATACGGCGCGATCCTCCAACCCCATCGACTCGGACCCCATCTGGGAGGCCTCTACATCCCCTCGGGGTAGGGGGGGAGGGGGAAGGCTTCTTAGAAGGAGGCTGCTTCTTAGCAGGCGCCTTGCCCTACATCTGCAGACGAGGCCCGCGCCTTTTGAGAAGCAGGGGCGCTTCTAAGAAGCCTCCCCCCCTCCCCCACACCCCCCGCTGCGCGAGGCCGATCCCTCCCTTGGAGGCCTGGAAATGGGCACCAACACCAACGCAGGGGATTGCCTCCACATGGGGAAGATGATCCTAGATTTCGGTGTTGGTGGCAATATTTCGGTCACCTTGGAAGCCAGAATAATACCACCACCACCACCACCGAGATCGGGACCTTCTTCCCTCGGTAGATGCACACCGCCGACATTGGTGTGGGTGTCAATCTCCAGGCCTGCGAGCTCCCGGACTCAGGTGGGCGGTGGAGGTGAAGCCCATGAGCGACACCATGTGCGACACGCCGAAGTTGGCCGACGTCTCCCCTCTCCCGCCCAGGGAGCAGGGGCAGCAAAGGGGCGGCCGCGGCCTCTCGAGAGAGGGGGGGAGCGCGGGGGGAAAGGGCGGGAGCGGACAAGAGGGGGGTGTCCAAGAGGGGGGAGCGGACAAGAGGGGGGTGTCCAAGAGGGGGGAGCGGACAAGAGGGGGGTGTCCAAGAGGGGGGAGCGGACAAGAGGGGGGTGTCCAAGAGGGGGGAGCGGACAAGAGGGTGGGGAGCGGACAAGAGAGAGGGAGGCGGGAGCGGACAAGAGGGGAGCGGACAAGAGGGGGGAGCGGACAAGAGGGGGGTGTCCAAGAGGGGGGGGGGTGCAAATCATGACCGGCGGCATGTGCGCGGCCCAGCGGGGGGGCCGGGGAGGTAATGAAATAAGAAGAGGCGCCACGAAATCTGGGGAAAAATCATGGCCCGCGCCATGAAATCCCCCTCCCCCCCTAGTCATCACTCCCCTCTTTTCCGCCCCCGAGAAGAGGAGCGGAGGAGGGGAAGGAGAGAAGGCCCGGGGAGCAGGATCGGCGGTGCGGCGAGGGGGGGGAGCAGGAAGGAGAGGGCCCTCTGAGGAGGCGGCGGGGCTTC